TTTATTAAAATTTCCCTTTTTTTAATTTCATTCGACTTCTGATCATCTAAAGCCAACAAAAAACATTTTTAGTCGAAGTATGAGCTTACACTTACATTAAAGAATTACCTATTTAAAAATAAATAACAGTAACAAGCAATAACCTAGTTAAAATAAAAAATGTAAAGTCGAAGTAAACGATTATAACGATTTAAATACAACTTTTCTATATCTATTAAAATTTAAAATATTTAATGCTTTATTTCTCATATTATTCTTATCTAATAGAAACTGTTTCTTTTTATATAACATGAACTGCAAATGACCTTCCCAATTTATTAAAATTTATAAAATTATTAGGTTAAGTTCTACTGTTCCACTCAGCTTAATCAGAAAATGTTTAATTAAAATCGATTTTCGGTCAATTCCCTGTTTATTTTCCTTTATCCACAGTAGCCAGAGTTTTTCATTGTAGTGCATCAAAGAGCGCTCTAATTCTCCCAATGCCATTTTCCAATTACGTTAATAGCTCATAAAACGACGTTTTTGTTTGTTGTTCTTCGCTTCAGACTCTTTAAAGCCGCTTGAGAGAGCTTTTGTGGCACATATCGAGAACTGCTTCTCCGAATCGGAACAATCCCAAACAATCCATGTAGCGCCCTCCCCCATGAAAATGTTTGGTTATCAAGAGGAACTATATATACAAAATTATGTTTGTAGATCTGTAGTGGCATATTTTTCAGCTGACTTTGGGCCTAAGAGTAATTACAATGGAGGGCACTTAAAAGAATTGTTGCTGCTGCTGAGGCAGCTTCTTTTTGCTGAAGGGGCCATAAAGTTTTTATGATCCCCCATTGATAGTGCGCGAGAATTCTATGGCCAAGCGCCCTCTGTCCGCCGCCTTTTCCGCCCATACATTGATTTTCCAGCCAGATCAGGTGAACATCACAGATTTGACAGTTGATTCTGAATGGTGATCAAAGCCAAATGCAGTTTTCCAGGGGGCTGGTCCCTCGGAAAGTCTTTGTCTCAGGTTCGACTTTGTTTATAGGATTTCACAACCGTTTGGCATCCATTAATCATTGCGTTGGAAGTATGTCTGACTTTTCCTCTTGTTCCGCTTTTTATTGTTTTTTAAGCAAGTGAATTGAGAGAGATAAAGAAAGAGGCAACTTTTCAGCGGCTTCGTCAGTGTCTATTTTCAATTAATAGACATATTTTCTGCAAGACTGCACAGAAAGAAATCAATCTATTTCATTTTATTAACAAAAAATTTACTGTAGAAAACATCGCTAAAAATGTTAAATAATTTTACTATTGAAAGTATTATAAAAAAATACTATAAGGTTAATCCTATTTAGTTAATCCAAGTTATGTATTTCTTTATGAAAATGTAATCATTAAATAATAGATATTTAGAAAAATTAAAACCTAGCAACCATTTCACAATTACTAACCAATTAGGTTATATTTTTTCCGTGTGGCGTTTCCACCTTTTTGTTTATTTGTTGAATCAGCCCCGTCAAACTGAGAAAAAAGCATCTCGAGCTGAACGTCAGTGTTGGTATTGTGTTAACACAGTCAGATAAGTCCGGGCCACTAAATGCTACGGGTCTGAGACTTTGGCGCAAACATTTTGACAACTTGTGAACTTTAGACTGACAGTCCGCTACTATCCCTCTGAATCCACTTCCCTCAGCCCCAGATCAGTAGTACAACGTGGTAGTATCATAAACCATAAACCACAAAAACCCCACAACAATTAAGGAAGAATCACAAAATGCTGCCGAAATCTTTGAGTTGCTTTAAGAAAAATAAGTTTGAGATGTATAAACAAACAGAAAAGCGCCAAGCAGCTGAAGCATCATCATGAGGGGCAGCTACATCAATAATACCAACAGCGATTAGCCCATATTTGAGCAGAGCTATCAAGCTAAATCGAAATCATCGAGCTGGAAGCTGAAGACTTATAAAGGGGGTAGATTGAACAGTTTTAGAAATTAAAAAAGATTTAAATATATAAAAAGTTGAGAATAATATAATTATTTTAAAAATTAAATACAACTCATACACATAAGAAAAATAAATACATTATGTTTTAAGTTAATAAAAGACTTTAAGATAATTTTTAAAGAACATGACTAAAATGGTGTGTTTACAAAACGCTTAAAGCCCATAGTACAAATTTATTTTGTTAAACGACCAGATTAACAGGAACATACACACTGACGGACAGATAAACCAGAAGCTCACATTTAAAATAACACTTCAACTTAAAAACGTGGAAAATTTTAACAAGTAATAAATTTAGTTCAAGCGTGAATCATTTCTTACACAAAAAAATAAATATAAAAGATTAGGATTAAAACAAGAAAGGAAAGCTAACTTCGGGCGGAGCCGAAGTTGATATACCCTTGCAGAATACTCTGTAAATTATATCCTCCAAAATTATTCATATGATGCATTCTTAATACTCATAAAAAATCCCAACTTCCTAACTTTAAAAACACCAAAGTTATGGCATTTCCGATCAATCAGTTATATGGCTGCTATAGGATATAGTCGGCCGATCCTTATGAAATTTGGTAGGTCGGATTGATTGGCCAAATATAATACCCATAGAGAGTCCCAACTTCCTAACTTAACAAACAGCAGAGTTATGGCATTTCCGATCAATCAGTTATATGGCAGCTATAGGATATAGTCGGCCGATCCCGGCCGTTCCGACTTATATACTGCGTGCAAAGGAAAGAAGGGTGTGTGCAAAGTTTCAATTCGATATCTTTAAAACTGAGAAACTAGTTCGCGTAGAAACAGACAGACGGACAGACGGACAGACGGACAGACGGACAGACGGACAGACGGACATGGCTATATCAACTCAGGAGGTGATCCTGATCAAGAATATATATACTTTATAGGGTCGGAGATGTCTCCTTCACTGCGTTGCACACTTTTGACCAAAATTATAATACCCTCTGCAAGGGTATAAAAATGTACACATAACATAATGTGTTTATATATAAATTGTATAAATTATAATTGATATAAAACAACATTTTTCTTTCTGAACATAATTAAATTCAAAAACTAACAATTATAGAGTATGAACACAAACACGCCATATAGCCAAGATCTCTGCTGACTGTTGACTGACTAAGCTTTTGGTAGCTGCTCCCGTTTCTGTTTTAGCTGCTTTTCAGCTTCTTGCCATCAGCTGAGCTCAGTGAAATGTGTTTTTATGGTATTTGAAAATGATTAGCCACCCAGATACGAAGACGAAGCGTTATTACGCGAACGTGTCTGGAGCTGGAGATGGATATGTAGATGAAGATGGAGTGTATGCCAACTCCGACGAATGGACAGTGGAACACTAGATTTTCGAGTGACTGGGACAGTGTTTGGGTACAAAAGTGGCACAATTTTTATGATCATGCGACTTTATTTGATGCTCATTTTTATTTTTGTGTGTTCCTCCGCTCTTATTTTTGACCATCATTTGATATTGTTTTTTATATTTTGTTTGCTGTTACCTGAGCTCGTGGCCTAGCCCAACAACCTGGGGAGCATGCCAAAGACAAAGTCGCTAACCTTTTTTATCATCCGAGATGTACACGAAAAAAAAGATGACAAGTTTGTCGCGTGTAAACAATTCGCGGCGGCCAAAACAGAGTGCGGGTGGAGCAGCCATTTGAGAGGGGATGGGGTTTGGAGGTGCGGTGTGGATAGGAGAGCAGTGTCACCGAAACGGAAATCAAGATGTTGAACTGGGTAGGTAACCGTAACAAAGTCAAAGAGCCAACACTGAGTGGTAAAAGTGCGCGACAACGGTTTATGAACATGCCGAAATGGTAGTTTTATTAATATTATTAAAATTATACATAACGATTTCATTGCAATTAAAACGAAATTAAATACTACATGATTGTATAGAAAATTCCGAACTATTTGAGGACAAAAATAAAATAAATAACAGAAACGATTAACTGATCTTGATTATTATATAAATTAAAATTATTTGACGGTTCTGTTAAGTCCGAAATTAGTTTTATACATATCTACTTCAATAAGTATTTTTCTTAAAAAATAAAGCGTTGAAGACATCGAGCTTCAAAATTATGTATATTATTCAAAGCTCTATAAAATTGAATACAAATTCTAATAGAACAGGTAGTTATTTGGTGCCTTTCTTCCACTTTCACTCAGTTATCATACAAATGGCGAGCAGTGTGCAAGCCATATACCCCGTCAAAAAATAAAGCACATCCAACACAATCTACAGATACATTAGAAAATATCTCAAAAATCAACACAAAAACTACAGGCGGTGGCGTCGCAGCCAGCTGAGGCGTCAACTGCGACTGCGATGTGCACACTGGGACAGATTGCCCTTTTTCCAAATTAATTTAACCAATTATGTTAAAGAGTTGTAGTTTCACGTAGACATTACCGTTAGCAATTACAACCAATATTTAAAAATCCATAAAGACTTAATTTAATATTTTATTTAATTTTAAATATTTAAAAAATGTATTTTTCATTGAAAAAAATAAAAGGCTAATGGTTAAAGTGTAACAACAAAAGTTGGCAAAAAATAAATAAAATTTGGAAAAGAAACACCTTCTCGCACGCATTTAATTCTCAATTTAAAAAATTATATAGTGAAGTCGATATAAAAGATCCGCAAAGTAGAGTTTAAGAGTCATTTAAATTTTTCATAACAAAAATTAAGCTTTGGTACCAGAATGTTCCTTTTATTAGTTCGTTTATGACCCTGTATACCATTACGATAAATTTAAAGATATTTGTTTCATATAAATCTTAGACTTAATGCCAAAAACAGGCGATCTGGCCCATTGTGCGTTGGGGGAACAGAACAAAACGCCACAGATTTTGAGCGCTCGGATCGCGCATGAGTGAAATAAATTTTCACGCTTCCAAACAGAGCGTCAGCAGAGCAGCTAAAGTGGAGGAAGAGACTTTTCGACGGCGACGTATCACAATCAGAAACGATCCGACAACCGACCGACAACCGACGTCCATTCATAGAGTGCCTTATATTTTTTGTGGGGTCGCCAGATCTCTCCGATCCGTTCCTTTCCGATCCGATCCGATCCGCAGAATCAGTCAAGAGTCCGGGCCCGATCGGTATTCGGTTATATTTCGCGAGTGTGGTTTTTCGCGAGCGCGGAGGAGGTGGAAAATCCCACGGTTGTTACGAGTTTACGTTCTCGAAATGATCGGCTAGCGATCCCTCAGAACCATACGAACGGTCAGTGCGAGTGTTCGGTGCTCCGATCGCGAGAAGAATTCTCCTCGAATGTGTGTCTTGTGATGTTTGGGAACATGGGAAAAACGGGCGCAAAGGATGCGCCACAACTTCTGGAAAGAACGAAATTAACAAAAGTATAAGAGGAGCACAGCAAAAAAAGGAAGATCCAGCCCAAAAGGCAACGAATATAAAAATCAAAATAAAAAGTGCGGACAAAAGCAGAGTCGCGCGACTTGGGTCTTCGGCCTGGGATTCTGATTAAAGCGCGCGTTTAATTTCATTTTTTACGCTACTCCCTGGTCATCGAACATCCTACACCCCGCCATATCCCCCAGCGAGTGGGCCCGAAAAAACAAAAAAAAATACAATTCCCCAGTTGGACTCCACCCTTGGCCAGGCTTTTGATTCGCTGTTCAACTTTTTGGCCTGGAACTTTTTGTTTGTTTCGTTCGCCTGTATCGCGAAACCTGGCCGACGACTCCTTGGCAATATTCCTTTTGACCGCTGCTCAGTACGCCGGCAGCTTTCTCCGTGTGCGTACGCAGCCTCTGCCGCAGACAGCAGCAGAAAACAAAAAAAAAACAAAAGAAAAAAAGTGAAAGATCAGGAAAGATCAGCCGGATCAGATCGGTGATCATGTCGCCCGGGATTCCCTGATGAAATATATAAAAAAAATCCACTCAACTTGAGCCGCTTGATTAATTCGCACACGTCAACGATATTCAAATAAGCATCTCGTGTACTCATCGTGGCCGCAATAAAAACGGCTTTAACTTTAACTACCTGCCAAAAAGAAACAAAAATAAAAACATTATATAGCACTCGCTCACTGAAAAAAACAAAATAGCTCAACGGGCCAGAATTTGGTTTGTTGCCGCTGCATTTTGCGGCTCCAATCGATATGCGTTTGCTCATGGTAATTGCAATTTTAATATTCGCAATGCCAATGACTGGATTCGGCTGGTAAGTGGCATTAAATCAACTATTATCAATATTAAAGTGGTATTAAATGGTAATTAATCATAAAATCATTGGAAAAAGTAAATTATTAGTAGTATAGCACAGTTTTTTTACAACTAAATTTAACGCAAATTTTATTATATGATAATTTAAATGTATTGTTATTCATTATAATGGAAAGTAGATTAATCGAATACAAGGTCAAGAGAACTTGAAGGAAATAAAATTGTTTGCTAGGTCATGCTTTAAGTACCTTGTTTATATAGCCAACTAAATGTATCTGTATTTATTTATATTTGCGATCATTAAATTGCAAAATTCTTTATAATAAAAAATATTCTTCTATCTTAGTTACATACATCGATTTATATGGTAAAGAAAATGTAATTGTCAGACAATTTTTATTACCAATTCGTATATATTAAAAAAAATTTGGGAAATGTTGTTATCTTTTGGGAAGCGTTTTCCCAGATCAGTTACTGGTATTATGCTATATGAAAAAAACTTGTTATCTATTAATAATATACCAATATGAGACATCATACTTATGGCTAGTATGGTCAGATGAAATCCAATGATTGAAATAAAAATAATACAGTGTATTATGTTCCTGTATAAAATCCACCCCAACAATTCTACAAAAAAAAAACCAGTCTCTAAATTTAATCATCTAGTTTAGTCTTATGCACCTCAGCTAACAAAGTCGCTTTGATTTGGCCCGTTGGTGCCCGCTCAACATGCAATTTATGTTCTGTTTCAATGCCAAAAAACCCATTACCACCCGCTCGGAGGTCTTTTAGCCCCAGAGCATCTGTGTTCATGTCAAATCGCATCAATTTACGAGATAGAGATTGGCGTAACAGCTTCCGGTTGGGCAGATAGAAAATAAAAAAGTGCAGGCACCTAAATAAATGCACAGCCAAAAGCGATCTAAATGGCCAAAATGCAAATGCAAATCCAAATCAGAGCCAATCGAGCGTGGCGACCGACTCGGCGGACCTTCAAAATGTGACGTTTGATTTAGATTTAATTACATGGCAACTTTTCTACTCTCCCTCTTTTTTGTGGCCAAAAAATATATATATAGTGTAGAAGCGGATGAAGCCGAAAAACCAAATGACACTTGGAGCAATTTATGCGCGAAATTACAGGCGAAAAGGCGTCCAACGAGATGAATAAATAAACAAACAAACCGAGGAGGACAGACATCAAATAGAAAGAAAAATAGTGACAGGGAGGAAGGGGCTTCCTTCTTACACATAAGTTATGCACTTTGCCAAAATATTTGTCAGCAAAGTGGCATCAATGAATTCGCCCAAAGAGGTCCGTTTTTATATTTATTTGCCAAAAGGTAGAAATATTGTGGCTGTCAACGGCAGCGAAAGATGAAATTTGCAGGGTGCCAGAGTGTCTAAAAGGGGGCGGCGTGGGCGTCGCGTGGCGTAGACTGCATGACGATTTTCTGGCTAGCAAATACACCTATTATATACATATTTTTTTTTTTTCATTAATTTAATTTGAGTTCTGTGCAACTGGGCGCGTCAGCAACCGATGGTGGACACCTGAAAAATTTTAAGGGAAAGGGGGACTGAAAAGTGGATGGGTGTTTCCATGCTGCATCCAATTCAATTGGCACTTTTTCACAATAAATTAATTAAATAATTAAGGCTCAAGTTCAGCGCTGTCAGTTCTTTTTGCCGCCTTTTGATGTCGAACGCTGAACGAGAGAAGTGGCCATATAGTAGATGTGAGTGTGCGTCCACCTAAAAGTTGCACAGAAAACAAAAATTAAACCCAAAACGTCTGCCTTTGGCTGTGCCACTTTCTACGCTTCATCTGTGCCGCTCAAGGGCGGTGGACCAGCCGCAAATGCAACCAAAATATAATATATTTAAATAAAAAAACAAGCCAAACTGATGACAGACTGCAGGCCATGAAGGGTGACAGATTGGCCGACTGACTGAGGAACAAGGTGTTAAGATACCACCTTTCAAAGAAAAATAAAGAAACCGTGGGCTTAGATAACACATGATGATTCAGCCTGATGGATGAAGTCAAATTAAAAATTCAATTCTAAGCCCTCAAGAAATAAGCTAATAATAATAATATAGTACAACTATAAAATACCTATTGAAATTAGTTAATAAAAACATTTATTTTTCCGGTAATTAATTTTAAAAATGTACAATATTGCCATGAAGAACCTTGCAGGCATACTTTCATTAAACTCTATTAGTAATCGAAAATTACAACAATTGTTAAAACTAAGTTGTACTAAATATAGTATATCAACATCATTTAGTTTTTTGTATTTCTTGAAGTAAATATAACTTAAAATTGATCCAGTTATCGAATTACTCAAAAAATAATAATATTATCAATTGAAAATGAAGCTCCTGATTACCCACTTATGCAATATCCCAAAGCTAACTGCCGCATCCTAAAAAATATTAATAAATTCATTCCAATCCCTCTGCTTTATAAACGCACAAAACGGATCAATAAGTTTATAATAATCGATCGAAGGCGGTTCGGCGTAATTTAAATTTTACAATGGGTCCGGAAATAGCTTAAATTAAGCGATTTGGGGGGTTTACAGCTCCACAAAATCATATCTCATTTTGTTTGTGTGCATTTTGCGAAATTCGCAGGCGAAGTGCACTACATCAAACGGTCGTTGTGTGAGCGATTGAGATCATAATCGATGGGCCAGAGATCAGCAGAGACGAATGTGGATCAGCTGGAATCGTACTCGTATTATGGGTAGATCTTCCGTTAAATGAATGGAAATTCCAGGCGGCAGAGGGACCAACAGAGGGGCAGCCAATTACAGAGAATCTTACAACAAATTGCCGTTGATCGGGCAGAAATTTAGCGCTGATGTGTCTGGAATTTAATTAAAACCAGCGCGCGAGACGATGATGAAGATCTGGCAATTTGCGAGATCTGCTGCTGTTTGATTTTCCCCCAAAAGCCCTAAATGAGCTCATTTCCGTTGAGAAAATCATTTGACATTTGCTGGCGACTTCCTGCTTTTCATTCAATTTGCAATACACATTTTCATTCATCGAAAATCGGTTCAGTCAGTGCCCCTCATCTTTTGATTTTGATTTTTATTTTTTTTTTGGCATTCGCAGCATGTGAAATGGTAATTAATGCCAGGCGGAGCATTTATGGGTTAAGGCAAACCCGGGGGGTGGTTAGTGGTTGGTGGCCCAGTGGCCACTTAGTCTCAAGCTGTGTTGGCTCCACAGTCGGTGGTTGCATCAACAACATTGCTCATACGCCCCGTGCAACCACGAGATTATCTCTGCCGCAAATTTGGCACACTTTATGAGCCAGCAGCAACAAACACCCCCAACAAAATGCAAAAACAACCCAATAATTATGTTCAACTAACGAGCAGACAAAACTCGGCCAATTGCCAAAATCCAATGCAGATGAGTTGATTATGAGCAGCAAAAAAGAGTCTCTGACACAATTCGCTCGACATTAACGAGTGTCTCGGCGTTTCTGTGTCTCTAGAGAAAGTTTCACGTTCAAGTTTCTTTCCCCAGCCTCAACCCCAAAAAGTAGCTACTTACCATGGCACTAGATGTTGCAAATCTTTTAATTAAGAGTCATGCCATTTGTTTATTTTGTTAATTTATCGCTTTCCCTCCGTTACATTGACGAATATGTCTGTCTGCGGTCTGTCTGTCAGCTGCATCATAATTAAAATGGATGACGAAACAAAAGAACACGACATGGGTCAAGTTGGAGGACAGTGTGGCACATGAACAGGTAGAGGGCCATGCCTTGATGTCTGTCAAGCAATGTGAGTCGAGTGCCCCAAGAATATGCCCATGTCGTCATCTCAAAAGGATGATGATGGGCTGGGACCAAGGAACTTAGGAAAGTACGGAAGCTGATTTATGGCGTACATAAATAAACAGCAATTAGCGATTTTTAAGAAAACTTAAAGACACCGAAATTAAGAATTTCTAAGATAATTAGTATCTAAACATAAATGAGGTAACTTTTGCTGTTATTATTTAATAATTGAGTAACAAGTGCAATATAATATTTGAGTATTTCTTTGCGTATTTTTAAAATTCTGATCCGTTAAAACAGTTTATTTGATTTTCAATTATATGTAATTTCTTAAATAAATAAAATTTTAATAGTAAATAAATACATAAATATTAATAAATACTAAAATTTCAATTTTCGTCTATCTTAAAACAAATGAATTTTCTTTAAAATTGGTTTATTGTTTAAATTTAAGTTACAGTAAGAAAAAAATTTTAAAAAACCATATAAACTACAATAAATTTATTAAAATATCTTCTATGGACAGGACATACTGATTAAATAAAATCCAATAATTAAATATTTGTATTAATAAGACTTTATGTGGTTTATTTTCCAACCATAATCTTGTGAATTTTTCCTTGTATCAAAATTTTTCCGCTCTCTAATGGCTGGCATTCTAAACCCCATGGAATCCTTGTCCATCAGCCAGTGCCCAATTCTTCTTTCTCACAGCCTCAATCACTGTGATTAAGCACAGTTTAGGCCTCCTTGACATGAACATGACCATGTCCGTGCGTCGATGATCGTTCCCTAAGCCCAGCTACGCCTATTTGAGCCATAATTAAGTTAAACGTTGTCGCAATTTGCGCACCTCAAAGTCACCAAGCCCCGAGATTGATGTCGCCTTTGTTGGCCCAGGGAGTTAAGCGAAGTTAAGGCACTTAAGGCTAAAGTTGAAGTCGTGCCCTGCCCACAGGAACCGGAGGAGGCTTGTTAAAGGAATGACATTGCCTGGCGCAAGAAATACTCATAGTAAATATGCCTGAATTATTAGCCGGCGTTTTTGTTGCGCCAATTGGACATGGACATGCCTGGGAAACAGTACGAAAAGTAAAGTTTTGGATTCCAGCTCTAGCAAAAGAAATTAATTTAAAACCAGAGATTTATATACAACGTTAGGATAACACTTTTCAGAAGTTATTTAAGATTACTTTATATATAACCCACAACCATTAAAAAGTGTATAAATTTCAGAAACATGACCTAAAAATATTATTATATATTTTTAAAAACCCTTTTTCGGAGTATAGTTGATTTTTTGCGAAATTCATTTTATAAATCTGAAAAAAATTTGTTTGCTTTATTTTTTTGAAAGATTAAAATTTATAAATTAAATGGCCCCATGGCACTGTTAATTTTGTATTTTTTACGACTTGGTGTAGAAGGAATAAGAGGATATACTTGAGATACTCCAAAGCGATGGCGCCTGAGCACAGCGAACACGTTAATATGCTAATTGTCAAATGACAAACGCCAGTTTCTCCATTCTCCCCTACCCCAAAAAAAGGTGCCAAAAAGCAGCATGCGGCGCCCACACACGATGCCGCACCCACCGGATCAGATCGGTTCCCAACTCCCAGGCATGTCAACACCTTTTCGGTGTTTCTTATTTATTTATTTACGTTTTTTGCCAGTAGCCATGGCTGGGGGGACCTAATCGATTGTCAATGCTGCCGCCCACATCAAACGCTTCTCCCTCGAAATTCGTATGCACAAGAGATCAGCACTTGCGCCGAGGCATTCTGTAGACAAATATTTGAGCGCGTAAATGAAACTGACCAGCCACAACAGCACTTGACTTGGCCGAGGCAGCAATCCAACGGCCCAGCTCAGAGGCAGGCAGTCAGCAAAGTCAGTAAAGTCAGAAAATAAAAAAGCCAGAGAGCCAGCCGGGCGACCAATCCAATGGCCATTCATTCACTTGTCAACGCTTTGTTTAAATACTTTGCCACTCGCATGTTGACAAGTGGTTTAAGTCGTTGATTTGTTTACACTGACCCCAGGGAAAGGAGGTGCAGTAAAGAGGTATAGAGAAGCGAGGCTGCAACCTGGTCAGGCAACTCACAAAAATGAGTCAATCAAAAAATTCTACTTCTTTACACAAAGATATCGAGATAGCAAGAAAATAAATATGCGGCAACAGTTGAGATGATCATTAAAAAAATATAGTTCTCATAAAACTATACCTACATTTGAATATTTACTTATGATTTATCTCTCTTAGGATTTATTTAAAAAATTATATTCCTTCCAAATATTTATTTTGTCGTTAACGACATTTGAGCCAATTGTAGCATAATATATTAGCAATCAATAAAGTACAAGCTAAATAATTTTGAATAAATATTTGATTAGAAATTTTAACCTACTCACTTTAAATAAATTAAATGGGAGTAAATAGTAAAATTTGGTTTTAACAATGAGCTTACAATTTCTAAAGTAATTACTGGTAAGCCTAAATTTAAAGTTTATTAAAACGAATGCAAAATAGGTAGGAAAAATGTTAAATACATTTTTTAATGTTGCTATTTTAAAATGGATGTACATGTAATTATTTAAATTTATTTACAATTTTCTGCAATTTAAGATCAAAATTTACTTTAGTAAAACTAAAACAATATTCAATGTACAGAATTTAGTTCTTTCTTTTCTGCATTCCGGGAAAGTCCCGAAAAAACTTTTCCTCTCTAATTTGTAATATCGCCAAGTCTATGGGTTAAGGGATAGTAAGGGAAATTTCAACCACTTGTCTGTTGGGGACTACCAAACCAAACCGGGCACTTTGATCAATGCCAAAGCACCCAGAGAGAGAGAAAGGCAGATACAAAAGGAAAGAGAGGGAAAGGAATCACTGAAAGTCCATTGAGGCCTATAACGACACCCATACCAGGCAAACAAACGCACACATTTACTGGAAGCAAAATAAAGATACGTTGCCAAGTGTTGCTTTACTGTATGGGATGGTATGGTATGGTATCGTATCGTATGGGACGGCTTTTGGGAGAAGGGGAAATGGGAATGGGATGGGGATGGGAATGGGCAGAGGGACCTGAGAGACCTGAAGTTGTGCTGGCTCCTTTTCATGTTTGCCGACAACTTCGCTGCCGACTTCGCTGCCAAGTAAACTTCAGTTCAACTTCAAAAACCAAAAAGTGTCGAACGATCGGTTGCTCCACTCTCTGTGCGGCTATTTTCCGCTTAACAAAAATCTCCTTTTTTTTGTGTTTTGAGTTGCTGCTATTTGTGTTCGGTGGTGGTGGCAACTTGTGTGGTTGAAAGGTGTTTGAGTTCTTTAGATCTCTCCAGTCATCAACGCAACGCAGCTAAGACGTCATCATCATCAAAGCAGCAACATTTAGAGTAGCAGCAGCAACATCTAGATTCCCAACAGCAACATCTCGATCGAAGATGAAGATGATCATTGTGATTTGAACTTCAATTGTTTCTACTTTGTTTACCAGCGCGTCTATCATTTGAAGTTTGTGTTTGGCGGTCGAGAGGCGATTGTTTTTGTTGCCTTTTGGAGTTAATATTTTCGTTAAGTACTTGTGCGTGCGTGTGTCTGCTCTATTTGTTATTTGGATTTTTTTTTTTCATTTTGTAGCTATTAAGTTGTCATAATCTCCATGAGTGTTTTGGAAGTGTGTGTACATTTTTTGTTGCATTGCCACAGGGAGCTACAGTGCAACAGCCAGGTGGCAAACGCAACCCAGGTGGGCATCGATAATGGGAATCTGAAGCGGCTCAAGTGGTTTATCTACTTGCTCTGAGAAAATTGGGAGCACCAGAACTGGGTTATCAGATATGCCGGAATGCGGAGAATTTTTAGAACTTGTTGTATTTAGAGATTTTAAAACTTACTGATGTCTGCAGAAATAATTATTTAAAAATACAAATATATTTTAAAGTGATTTTTGAATAAAACTGTATCATTTTAAATTAAAAAAAAAAAATTTTATAAATATTTTTAAATAAAACGAACATTTAAATTAGCGTAAACCATAAATATACATTTTAATTGAATCAAGATCCCAATAACACGCCAAAAGCGCTTTCATGTAATGCCATGTTTTTGCAAAATCTAGTAAAATTAGTAATATATATGTGAGACAACAAATCCAAGCCACATATCATCCGGTTATTAGCATATTTGTCGGCTAAGCTTCCACTTATGAGTTTGGCGCCATCCAATGCGTAAATCATTCCGCACACAAGTTCATTAAAAATAGTTGTATTTATTTATTTAAACTGCTTAGCCGAAATCTGTCGGCGTTTATTTTCCTAAACTGCCAAAGCTGCAGAATGCCAAAGGAAAAACACAAAACTTATAAAAGATGAACTCAATTTTTGTGCTTTTTTGGCTTTGTTCGTCGTCATATGCTGCGTATACGTAATGGCGACTATAAAGAGGTCCTCATCCATTGTTTATTATTATAAAATCGAAGCGTTGGCAAAAGTCGATCAATAAAATTTTACCCACTCTCACTCATTCCAACATTTTGCAATTTTTCCAATCGATGCAATTTTCGTTTTCATTTTGAATGCCATTTGCCGGCTGGTTCTGCGGCGTTAAAATTTAATTTAGGTGGAAAATTAATAATTACCCAACAATGTGGGTGCAGTATGCACACATATATCTGTGTGTATACCTATAGTAAAGTATATATTCGTTTGGAGATCGACTTCTCGGGTATGTGTCAGCATTCAGAAGCGGCCACTGAAAATTGTTTCTGCGGGTATTGCTCGCCTTTGGCGCTGATTTATGTTTTTCCATTTCAGATTTATGACTTTTTAATAGCTCAATCGCTCGGTTTTTCGCTTTTTTCACATTGCACATTCGCGTGAAATTTACTTTGGGTGTTCGTGAACTTTGCGCCGATTTCCAGTTGTGTGGAAAGTGTTTCGGATGGTTTATGCTCTGTCCAATTTGAGATCCGGGGTAAATAAAGCGTTTAATAGGGCCTGCTGCTGCTGTTATTTCTGCTGCTAGTTTTGCTCTTTCCTCCAGCACAGATTGATCTATTTGTCCATCATCTATTGCTTACAGCGAACTGCGATTGGTATTTTCAGAGCCATAAAAGTGAGGGGAACTCTCTGCTGAGTCAGTCTAAAAATACAAGAAATCACTGCCAAAGCTTCGGCGAACTTCAAAATGTGAGCTACGTGCAGATTATTCATCGATGACAAAGTGCTTGGTCTGATAAATGCCTTCGGGTCAGAGACAAACCCTCAAAGGAAAACAAAAAGTTGGTCATAGATAATCGAATACGTGATTGCTTATCGGTTCTGACGTTATAGATTTAGGTGTGCCCTAGGCGGAAACTCTGTGTAATACGTTTCTGAAATGGACTAGTCAGAACTTTTTAAAGAAATTTAAGTTACAACCAGGACTGTTTCACGTTTCCCTTGAACTATATATCAGTTTGGATTAGTTTTTTAAGCACCTGCAAAATAACAGAAATTTGCTTTTTAGTTGAGAACTTCTCTCCAATGAAAAGTACATTTTAAACAACTTGGTATAAACATTGTGAAAGTGAACACGCCTGCATTTGTATTTAAAAGTCATTGTAAAACGAAAAATTTTAATTTGGTTACAAAACGTTGCTTATCAGCTTAAAGTTTGGTTTTAACTTAAGGGGTTTTATTTTAGTTTGAAGACAATGCAAAATTTGTATGTATGGTACTTTGAAAATAAATTAATGTGTAGATCTAAAATGCAAAATTCTTTGCTTATATTTTTAGGGCCGAAGGCACCAACATCCTTCTCGATCCAAATCTAATGTGCAAAAAGACACGTCGTCTGCGGGGCAAGTTGGCCGAAATCTGCCGGCACGATTCGGCCCTGCTCAAAGAGATCATCATCGGTGGCATCAACCTGGGCTTCCGCGAATGCGAATTTCAATTCCGCAACCGCCGGTGGAATTGCACTGTTCTGCGCAAGAGCATGAGGAAAATCTTAATGCGCGGTAAGTAGTTTTTCAGAGTCGAACGAAACTAGTTTTATGGGAGGGGTACTACTTCTACTGACTTTATTATGCAGTGCCAACAGGCAACCTGTCAACACTCTCTGAGTCACAGAGTGAAACCAGGTGGAGATGCTATCGCGGGTTGGCTGCCTAATTACAACTCATCGTTGCACGCCCCGACTTTATTTTATTTTGCTTAATTTCTTTTGGGTTGTCATGGACAAGGGCCTTGCAGACCGCACCATCCATCAAGTTGCATAATAAAAATGCAGCGACCCGCGCTGATGAATAGCGCCTGAAATGAGCCTACAAAGCTGTCAATTTTAATAAATTATTGCACAGGAAAAAAGCTGGCGTATAAGGAGGACTGGATACTGCTCCCCCTGATCCTCGATCGGTGCACTTAATGACAACAATGCGCAAACAAAACACATACCAAACTGTGGGTATGTGCCATAAATTTCACGGGCGAAACCACCAAAATTCTCCTTTTTTTTGGCTAAAGCCTCGCCCTGTCAACTTGTCAGCTCAAAATACAACAAAATTAAAATAAACCCGAAGAAGTCTCTCATGTAACACTCCATTTTAGGGTGGCTCAAGACACATCACCTGTCGTGTAGAAAAAAGAACCAGCACTTCACCTTCGAGCGCATTACAAGCGTATGCAAATTTAAAAACCTGACGATTACAATTGCGATTCGGATTTCGATTTCGCTTTCATTAAACGTGACTGCCAACACCACGAGTCACAAGCGGACATTTGCGATTTGTGATTTGCATAGAGCAGCGATCGTTGATTGGTGATCGCCAATCGAACAAGCAATAAATCATTTTGTCGCCGAAGCTGACAAATTAAAATCAATCAGGCGACACGTGCTGACAAGGCTAATGATTGAGGATTGATTGAACCCGAGGCAAATCGATTGGGGCACGGGGGCTCTTGATTTTACCTTTTTCCAGCTAGGATAACCACAAAGCCTTATATATTGAAACATTATCCTAAAGTGGGAAAATGATGAATACTTCCTTTTAATTAAATACAATTATTCAAGTATCACTACAAGTTTTTTTAAGATTTGCTAACATTTAAGTTAAATTTATATAAATATTTTTCAACATACTGAGCACCACTTGTTTTTAAATATTTTTTCCAAATATTATTATTAAAAGCAAGGCAATAAAATATTAAAAGTAATGCAAAAAATTTGTATTTAAGATGAAGAATTAATTATCTTAAGCTAAATCGTTCTTACTCGTAACTTTACTTTGATTTAATATAAAATGTTGATTTTAACCGATATTCTTTTTTTCTAGACTCTCGAGAAACGGGCTTCGTGAACGCAATCACAGCCGCTGGAGTGACCTACGCGGTGACGAAGGCCTGCACGATGGGTCAGTTGGTGGAGTGCTCCTGCGACAAGGCGCACATGCGCCGAAACGGCGGGCAGCCCCAAATGGTGACGGCGGCAACCGCAGAGGCCACTTTAGAGCGGCAGCAACAGGCGGCGATGCTGCGGCAACAGATGCCCCTGCAGGATCAGCATCTCACCCAGCAGCAGCGAATGAATCGCATCAACAACGGCAGTACCATGACGGATTTGTCTCCGCTGGAGAACCGAAACGGGCGGAATCGAAGGCCCGGTGGGAGGCGGGGGCGTCGCAAGTTCTGGGACAACATCAAGTTCCCAGAAGGTCAGTGGGAGTGGGGCGGATGCAGTGACAATGTGAACTTTGGCCTTCGTCACTCGCGCGTTTTCCTCGACGCCAAGCAAAGGCAACGGCGCAGCGATCTCGGCACGCTTGTGAAGTTGCACAACAATAATGCAGGACGATTGGTAAGTACCTAACTATTTTTGGAAAAAATTAGTGAAAAAAGCAAAAGCTAATTTGAAACACTTTAATATGTTAAGCACTTTGTACAATTTTTGTATAATTCAACTTTTTAATATTCATTCAAACCAATCCAAAGGCAAGAAAGTAATTTTTAAAAACTAATATAAATTGTTTTATTTTAAATGGAAGGCAAATCGTTTTAATTGTTAAAGATCGGTTCAAAAATTTTAAGTATTGTAATATTTATGCACAATCCCGTACCTATCGGTATAATGTTTTGCTAAAATAATTGTAATAAATTTAAAGTTATTCCAGTAGCTTCTCTTTTGCAAGAAAAAATCAATTATTTTCCAGTCAAAATGTATTAGATCCTAACGATCCTAATAGATTCCGATCATAAAACTTTATCAAAACTCCTGCATCCTTTCAGGCCATTCGCGATGCCATGCGACTGGAGTGCAAGTGCCACGGCCTATCCGGCTCCTGCACGGTGAAAACCTGCTGGCTGAAGATGCCTCCGTTTCGGGAAGTGGCAGGACGACTGCGCGATCGGTACGATAGTGCCAGGAAGGTGACGCTGCGCAACGATGGGGACAGCTTCATGCCGGAAGTGCCGCACACGAGGCCGGCGAACAAGTACCAACTCGTGTTTGCAGATGATTCGCCCGACTTTTGCACACCCAACTCGAAAACCGGTGCGCTGGGAACTCAGGGTAGGGAGTGCAATGTGACCAGTTCGGGATCCGATCGCTGCGATCGATTGTGCTGCAATCGAGGACATACTCGCAGGATTGTCGAGGAGCAAACCAACTGCAAATGCGTTTTCAAGTGGTGCTGCGAGGTGACCTGCGAAAAGTGCCTGGAGCATCGAGCGGTTAACACATGTCTTTGAAAGGGGATCTGGATCCCATTCACCATCATTATTTGTATTATTTTCTTCGGTTTAGACAGGAATAGAATTTTGAAAGCTTTCCATTTCGCGTGATAGAAAACACACACTTACAGAGAAAACGTTTTAAGTATTAACTAACAAGTGAACACGAGTATCTCTAATCTTTTAGCTAGTTGTAAATACAAAATAAAACTCACATAAACATGCCTACGTTATATCATTCATATACAACTCATGTAAGCCTTGTAAATAGTTGTAATAAAAATTAAAGAAAAACTAAACAGAAAATTATTATTATATTTTTAAATTTACTTCAACAGTGTTTTGCTGCGGTTTGTTCCAGTCCATTTTTATCCTTAAATACTATTCTTTATTTCATTGTATTTTTATAAGATCATTGAAAACCCAATTCCTTTTGACTTACAACTCCATCCGCTTGTCATCCAATTAATTGCAAACAAATTGAATTTTAAACAACCCGATTGTCTACAAGAAAATTATATGCTAAACGGAAATGTATTTCAAATCGATTCGCCCATTGATTGAAATCTGCATAAATGATTAAACGTAAATTAATGAAGACAACACAACAACACACAAATCGATTGAACAGTCTGGCAGCTGAAAACAAGTTCTCAGTTTCATTCAAGTGTATCTATCTATCTTTTGGGCATAGTCATTCCGTTGACTTTCCCATAAATTAACACAATTTTATTGTTGTCGACACGAGATAAAAATCTATAGAAATTTGCCTAAACAGCAAACAAAAGTTCGATGACAACGGAAAAAAATGCAAAACGCATTTTGAATAGAATGAAAATTGATTTGCCCATTGTGAATAAATTACGATCCACAAACAGATCGATTGAGCGCCATCGATCTTTGGGTGCATAAATTAAGAAATCAAATCGTTGTCGCTAAATGCATGTAATTAAATGAATATTATATTGTGATTTTCTATCCTAGGCAACAGAAGCAAACGAATATGCATTATAAATGTCGTTATCAGCCAAATGAAAGTCATTGGAATTGCAAATGGGACAATCAGAAGTTGGTGATGAATGAGCTAAAACGTTTTGTGTGTTTTACTAATTTTATTTGTGGGTGGGATGTTATTTAAAACTTAATTAGGTCAAAACCAAAGATTACAAGTATAAATAATTATACTTTTATTTATTGATATGGCTTCAGGACTAATACAAAGGACTTTCATATATTTCCTTTCTTTCATATATATTAATTGATATAAGTAATATCATTATTTTTTATCAGTATGACATTTTTATTCTGATTAAATATTCTTGATTCTGTGTACATAAGGAGCTTAGCCAAATCTCTCACCCAACCAAGAAGGGAAATAAAGGAACCCAGAGAATTATCCAATACCAAGACCGAATTCCGATCCATTTGCCTACTTCGAGCTGATTGTGGGTCTCTTACTTGGTTTATTATTTTGGGGCTGCCGAGGAGACAAGCCCATGCCAGAGATAAGATACTCCCAGAAACATCAGCGGCAGCAACGCTCCAAAAGCAACAACTAATTAACAATCGCATTCATTTTATTTATCGTACAAATGCAAACCGCTTGATTCCAAAAAAAAAAAAAAATACAAAAAAAGAGAAACAAAAGACGAAAAACTGTATCTGCATGCATTTATAAAGCCTCCGATGTGGATACGGGATTGGGTTCCAGATTGGATTGGGATTGTGGAATCTTCGTGGCCGCTTCTTTGGCTTTGGTTCACTTGACTGAACAAAATGTACGCCGAGATATATGTGCGTTGGGATCGCATCTCTTCTCCTCCGCCTTGCGTTGTTTTTCCAGATTCCAGTGGCTTTATCTTGGGCGCGTTAATGAGATTTGCTTGTATCTGAAGCCATTCGGTAGATGCGTATCAGTGGATTTCAATTAATTGTGGCGACGCTTATTAGTCATCCATCTAACAAACTAAACACGAGACTGGCGCTACCTCAATCTCACTCCGAGTCCATTATTTTTTCTAGAGTGCCATTGACCTCGGACTGACCTTGGCTGCATCTTTTTCTGTTATGTTAATAAGAATTAATTTAAATGCTGTCCCAACACCAAGAAAAATATTTTACTGAAATATACCTTCAAAGTAGAGTTTAAGTTTGTTATCACACCTACTTTTGTATTTATCAGATAGCTTTAAAATTAATTTTAAAACTGTATGCAATCAATATTGTCGAGGTAGGTTTACTTTTCAATGAAAGTAGATTTTGGTTCAACTTTTGAATGGTTAACATTGTATCATCCTTTTATTCATGTAACTAAAATCTAACTAGTAAATGTATCATTTAATTATATTCTCTCTCTGTAGTATTCTGTGAAAGCGGTTAATTTTCTTTCAAGTGGCGCTTAAAATGGCGCCCCATATCCCCAATCTGATGTATAGGAATAATATATATATGTGCCTATATAGACACCAACTAATGGCTTAATTCGGAGGTGTACGTATCGATCCTCAATGATCAGGCGGCAGGAACCATTTTAGCCAAATTGCAGTTCTTGGCCAGCAGTTCTCTCGAGAGGAGAAGCAACCACAAGCGACGGCGGACGGGGCGCTACAACAATAAAGAAGAACAACTATTAAGACCGCTTGAACGCCTGTCCGGGATCCAAATAACAGCAACAACAGCAAACAGCAACGAAAAACTACAGAAACAAAACCTGAAACATGAAATTCCTGCGTAATTTGTAAGGAAAGGCGTGAAGAACACCAACGAAGGCAACACCTTAATTAATGTTATTAAAATGGAACGAACGACCGACCGACCGATGGACCTGGAACCTGGAACCTGCAACCTGGAGAACCTGCAACCTGGACCTCAACCTGGGTCCAGGGAGACCTACAGCCCGAGAAGGCTCAAAAGACAACCCGAAGAAGTGGAAAAGAAGAAGGCAAGCGTAAAAGAATGTGGCAAAAAAAAAGGGAAGAGAAGAAGGGTAAAGCAAAAAGGGTCGATCGTCCAGAAACTCTTCTTTGGGTTGGTCAATCCCTGACTTCGACTTTGAAAGTGGCTACGAATTCAAACCCACTGATCATGGAAAAGAGAAAATTCAGGAAAGGCTTGATGCCGTAAAAGTCCTTCAATAAATCAACGAGCAAATGTTTTGCTTCAAATAAAAATCGATTTTAATCGATAATTAATTTAAATAAATCATTAATTAATGCGAATTCTAAATCTTTCTTTTCAAAGAATTTTATCTTTCTTTTCAAAGAATTTTGTTAAGGTGCTTCTATATTAATTTTGAATTACAAAAAAGTTGTTAAAAGATATTTGTTAATCGATAATTAAATATAATTAAATGCCATTAATTGATTCGAATTATTATTCTTGTTACTTAAATAATTTCTATATTTCTATTTTTATTTCTATAAAACAAATATTTTTTTTAAAGATATTTGTTATCATTTTAGATATGTTGAACAATAAGTTCTTTGCTCTTTGGTGTAAACCCTGTAAAACTTGTCTCCAACTTCCGGAAAATGGTGGAATTCTACAGCCTACATCATTTTAGACTTTACAAGTTTTTTAAAGGCTCTTAAGAGATTCTTTTAAAAAGTTCCCAGGCACAGAGACAAAATGTGGCCATCTGGTGATCAGACACGCTCCATAAGCAGAACCGGAGACTTCTCCACTGAGTCCTCCACAAGATCCCTGGTTTTCCAGAGTCAGAGTCCATGGGCTGCTGTCAATTGTGGCTTGGGAACCCAGCGTTCTAAGACGTTAAGGCAGATTTATCACTGGACACTCTGGAGCGCTGACTACTTGACATATTCATTAAATTTGCCACATTGTTGCCGGCAAAGAAACGGCAGACAAAGGAGATGATGCTCATCATTTTGACACCTTAATGTGGTAATTAGGGTTTTCCCCCACTTCCTTCGCTGCCGCTGTAGAAGATCCTTAAAAGCCGATGATCGTGAGCAAATATTAACACAGATCGGATCGGGAAGATCGCAGATGGATGGGCAACGCCCTGGACTGCTCCGACCCTTAACGGTTTACGGCGAATTGGCTTAAATTATTTAAAGATTACAACCTCCAAGCGGGGCACAAAAAGGAGGTAGAGATACGGAAAAAGATCATCACCCCGAACGATCTGTCTGCGATTGCGATCGTGAATCCTTTTTCGGGTGTGAAGATTATGACACAGCAGAAATGGCAGGCGGCGGAACCAAAACGAAACGAAAGTCGCTGCCAGCAATTAATTTCAAATTTTTTTCCGGCCTCATGGCAGCAGGGCAGCTGGGTCCCAAGGTGATCCAAAGAAATTGCAGACAAATTAAGATAAATGAATTGTTTAATTGTTCCATGGGGCGCAGGATTTTTTGTTGTTCTGCGCCCTGCTAATATGACTTGTAATGTGAAAAATGAGTGAAGGGGAAGGGCGCGAAACAAAGTAATATCTTCAAGGTTTAAAGGTGAAATAACAGATGAAAGCATCTGATTTGGATATTCCTTTCGGGATCAATAAACTAAATGGTTTTTTTTAAATAATGAACGAAAATTGTGGCACATGTATTTAATATATATATAAAAGTTCTACGTCTAAGTTTGGTCTATTTGTTGGTAATCTTAAAAATTAATAAATTAGTTTACCTTTTCTGTAATCGCTAACTAATTAACTAATTTTTATTGCAAGATATTTCGGCATGTGTATGTCCATTTTCCATAAAATTTTTCAATCAATTTTAGTGCTATTACATTTCTTCAATGCTATTAGTTAGGCATTAACACCCAGGCCATACAACTCAAAAGGCAAAAGAATCATCAATCAAAGTCTTGATGTCTAAATAATGCAACACCAAAGTTGAGCCTTTTGTCCAACTTTTGTTGTGGGTTATTGAGCCTGAGTTCTTAGCTTCGACCACAAAGGACTACCGCGCTAATTAATACCATACCGAAAGCCAGATCTCGATCCGTTCGTGCCTCAACTCTTGGGCTTAAGCCACACACGGCTCACGATCGCCATCTTCATCTCCATCTCCATCTAAGCTAAATAAAGTTATTAAGCCTTGAAGCCAAGAGGGAAATGTTGCAGTGCCAAAAACCAAAAAAAAAAAGGGGGAAAACAAGAGGGGGAGCAGAAGAAAGACTGGGACTGGGAAACGAAAGGCCCAAAACGCAGCATGTGTTAAAATTATATAGAGAGTGCGTGTGTGGACCGTACGAGAGGACCCCCCTAATGGCGATGGACTCAACTGAACTGGACTCGGAGTGAATTCTCCTGCCGAAGGCCCGAACTCAGAGT